CTAAACCGCAACATTTGCGAAGACAAACGCAAAACCTCAAGTCAGTTCTCCCACCGTATCACAGTATGCTATATCAATGTATCCTTATTTAATAATCTTTGGTCCAAATTTTGGGGTCTTCCATTATTTAATAACCCTCTGATTCGAATGTGCGAGACCTCTTATGCTCGCACTATTCAATCAAAGAGTAATTAAATATGGGGCAACCGTCATACCCCAAATTTGTCTGCCTTGGTACTATAGTCGAAGTTATTTTTAAACTTGGATTTTAAAATTATTTTGGGTTTATTCACACTAACCTTTTGGGTTTTATAAATATTCGTTTTTAAGTCTATTTAAAAATATAATAGTTTACTTTTAAAATTATTTATATAGATTTTTTAAATAGCAAATATTTGCGCACCTCTCATATACTTTCAATTGGCTTTTTATTTCAAATAAATAACATAGCTCAATTGCTAAGGAAACATAGCTTGGAAACATAGGGTCAAGGGTTCAAATCTTAATTGGTGCACTTTGGATATTTTTGTTTATTTGTTACTAACTATTCTTATTTTTAATTATTTTCAAAATCACAAAAAAAAAAACATTTTTTAATATTTAAATATTAATTTTCATATTTTTTATTATGGTATTTTTAAAAATGATTATTTATTTGATTTTATATATTTTTTTTATCAAAATTGAGTGTAAAAGTTATAATAAATAACAAAAATATTTTTATTGATTTTGTTTCATTTTATTTTAGGATAGTTTTTATGAGATTGATCAAAATAGTCAAACTTGGTTTTATTTAAATTTTAATTAGCATGGATTAATTTCAAATTTTAAACGTTATTTCTTTAATTAGTTTTTAACCTAATATTTTTATGCTATATAAAGAGATGATATTTTACCAACAAGAGGAGACCACTTCTCACATCTATTCTTACACTAAGAAGCCAATTCTATTATCAACAATTTTCACATAATTTTCTCACACTACACTGATACAAAAATCTCTTTTTGTTCTCACGCTGCATATTCACAACCTGTACATATTTTAACATATTTTTTTCCAATACCTCAAAAGCTTCACTAAACCGCAATCAATGTCGGCAATCTATACCTTCATCAAGTATGTTATTAAATGTTTTTATTTGATGTGTTTTGTTGTTTGTTTTGATATGGAAATAGGTTAAAGAAGATGAGAAACAAAGTGACACAAGAACAATAATCTAGCAGGGAATTCAACAACAAGTCACAAAATAAAATCTGGAAAATATATATTTGTTGTGCTTTTTGTCTTTGTTTGTTGTGTAGGAAAACAGAGAAATATAAGGAAGAATTCTGAGGCTCACGTTCACCACTCACGACGACTACTTCCGATGGACAGATCCCTCTGCGTGCAGAATTGGCGTGAGCTCGCAGATCCACGACCAAGCATGCCCAGATTTCAGCGGATCTCCTTCCGCGATTCCGCCTCCTCACAGGACGTCGACCACTCCCCAAAGATATGAATCGTCGTCGTCAAGTCCTTTTCTTTTTCCAGTTTGATCAGATTCATGTGTTCGGTTTTTGTTTTCTTCCTTTTCAAGTAAATGAAAGAAGAGAGAAGAAGATGAAATACTTGGAGAAAGGTCGAGATATATCTTCACGAGATCTGGTTGCAAGGTTATGAGATAGTTTTTTTATTTAATGATAAGTTTGTCACTTGTTAGTGGCTCATTGGTCAATTAGTAAACATTGGAAAATCAAAATTGATATCCTCTTTGCTAAAGGTACCGGTCCAAGCACTTTCTATTTCACATATTTCTTTTTTAATTAATAATTCAAGTTAAGATACAACTAGGGTATTAGTTGATCTTATAGACTCTTGGGCCATAATCTCACCATAGCTGAACAAATTCACCAGATTTGCTACTACGTTAGAAATTACACCCCCTCTGCGTTTGAGCCTAAATTCAATACCTGAATTCCAGGCTCTATTTTTCACACTCCCTGTTTTACTTAACTCAAATAAAATACACCGCCTGCGTTTTTATTAACATTTTTTTATTATTATATTATTATTATAATTTTATATTTAATATAGTTATAAATTCTAAAATATTTATTATTATTATTAAAAATAAAATATTTATTTTTTTCTAATTCATCCGAATATTTTATTACATAAAAATTATTTTTGTCATGCATTAAAAAGATTTTTTTTATATTAATATATTTAAAAGATACCTTAACCAACATCAAATCTATTTTTCTTACTAACTTAATTAAATCTAAGATAATTTTCAAAAAGGATTATGAAGATACTTTAAATCAACTGCGAACTTCATCTAACAATTCCGCTATTCATACACCTAGACTTAGTACAAGAGAAATCCAAAATATTTTCGTAATTCATAAAAAACACCAATCAACTGCGAACTACGAATTGAGACTCTGATTCCTCATAAGAGGATACATATGTATACGACTAAAATCGTGGCGAGTTCCCTAATAAAAATTAAAACCCTATTTCCTAAGTCGTAATTCTAAACCCTAGTATCCTTGTGAGCAAGGTAGATGAGGGGTGCCTAACACCTTCCCTTCGTCTAAAATGAGTCAAATAATTCAGAATCTCTGACTAAACTAGGGTTATCCTTTATATTCTCTTCTCAAAGATAAAAATTAAGGGTGACGACTCTCATTTTAAAATTAGTTACAACATTATGCATGGGTTGGAGGTTGAAGGTGAAGAAAAATGGTGGTAAGTGTTCAGTTTCATCAATTTGGAATGATGCATGAATGATATATTTATAATTGTGGAAGTTTGAATGCAAAGAGGTAATTTTCAGAATAAAAAAGGAATTGAAAATAGGATCCACTCAAACAGTATTAGCCGACCTGAAATGCAGATGTGTCAACACATAAGACTAATTTTTACAGTATGTGTCGGCATGAAATGACTCATGTGTCAACCTATGAGAAACAAATGCCACAACCTTTAATATTGAGACAAATGTGTCAGTCTAAAAATTATGTGTCGACACATGAAACTGAAAGTTACAGTATGTGTCGGCCTGAAGACTATTTGTTGAGTTATATGTGTCGACACAAAACATAAGCTACATGATTTATTATTGAGTTATATGTGTCGGCCTGAAACTCGTATGTGTCAACACATGTTGATGTTTTTTGTGCAGAAAATGAATTTCAATGTTTTTGGCCAATTTCAATGTAGTTTAGAATGATTCTTAAGACCTCTAATACAATGGTGCACCATATGACATAGAGATGCTTGCATTCACAACGATGCTTGCATTCTTCAACGCCTAGCTTATATCTATCCTCAGGTATAGTGATGGCCAACCTATCTTCTTTGAGACAAGAAATCAGTAGTTGACTTTGAGGATATTGAAAATATTATTATTGACCACATTTGCAAAAGATTTGTCAATCTTTGTGAAAGACTTTTTTTGAAGGTTGGGTGACAAAAGGATTAGGTAAGTATTTCGGGGGAAGAGGGATAGAACATCCACGACTTCCATATGGTGCACTAATAATGGATTGGACTGCGTTTGGTCTAACTTGTTATCCAACCCTCCACGACTTCCATATGGTGCACTAATAATGGATTGGACTGCGTTTGGTCTAACTTGTTATCCAATCCGTTCAAGTTTCAATGGTGAAACCCAATCCAACTTGTTATCCAATCCGTTCAAATTTCAATGGTCAAACCCAATCCAACTCATGTACACCCCCTAGTTTTTAGAACACATGTCACATCTTGATTGAGGGAATCGTAACAAATTGCCCTTTAAGATGGCAGTAGCAAAAGAGAATCAGTAAAAATGATTGTAGTAGCAAATGATTGCAAAACATTCGAGTTCTGGGTCTTTCGTCACCCTTTCTTGATCTTCCATCACTACATTGATACAGCCCATTCAACATGAGAAACCAGTGACTCGGTAAATAAAGGATACCAACACATGCTACACCGAGCAAATTCCAACACGAAACATCAAGCGAATACACGCCTTAGTAGATAAATTTGACTGTCACTACTTCTGCAATACCCTGTCAAGAGGTTCACCAGATTCTAAGTTTGCAACATTGAAACAACATCCTGCAGAGATCGCCACTCCTACTCGACAAAGCTACAACTCAGTTTCTTTTTTGCGAAAGCAGCTCACCGCACCACTGTGATATCGCCGGCAGACTATAATTCGCTATGAAGATCTCTACAACTCAGTAACTACTTGGTTTGTATCATTTGTTTTTTAATTTTATAAGACCAATAATATAATAAACTACAAAATGAGATAAAAAGATGAATAGCATTACAAAATGAATCAAAATTGAAGCAGCTCGCACTATAAACAGGTGCACTGTGTTAAATAAGTTTGTAAAATGGACAGAATGTATCAAAATTGAAGCAGCTAGCAGTATAACAGCTGCATTAGTAATGTCGCAAAACATGTATTGTTCAAAGAATGAATCAAAATTGTGGCAGCTAGCAGTATCATAGCTGCATTACAGTGCTCCCAAAATTATAGATTCCAAGGGAACACAAGAGGTGTTGTTGCATCATAGCAGAATCATGCTCTTGCATAATCTCTAGTCAGTAGTCACAATAATGACATAATCATCAAGCAAAACCTTCTCTCTTGCAACTTGAAACAATGATGAATCTGCCATCTCACCATAGAAAATGCTTCATTCCAATCCTTGCTAAACTTGTAGTTTGCAGTGAAACCTCCTGGGCCATTTTTTGTGCTTGTCCATGATTCACACCAAAACCTCTGAATCTCATAACAATCGAACCAAGCACTTCAAACACAGTTCGGACCAACAGTGCTTCATTCCTTTGGCAGAGGCTGAATATGCAAACACTAAACCTTGAAAAACAAAACAAATCTAAAAATAGCAAATAGCATAAATAAAGAGAGAAAAAAAAGACTTTCTTTTTTCTTTTGATTACCATAATCATTAACAGTTAACAAATCCAAGCTCCATCAACATTGCCATCATCCTCATCACAAGCCACATAGAAAAAACTTGGAAGCAGGAAAAGCCAAACCTGTAAAACAAACAAGACAAACAGTAAGCAAATACCGAGAAAACCAAGTAACCACCTTCCATTTAATCTCAACACTCGAACTCTTCATCCTCTTTCCATTCAAACCCAACTCCTTCGACAAATCAAAGCTAGCACCTTTCATCCTCAACTCCTGAATACACCTCCCAACCCCTCTACTATCATTTCTCTCCCTCTGTAACCGCTCCCACACTTTCCAATACCTAAACAATTTCACTTGAACCAAAAACACAAACACAAGCGAAGTACAAAGCGAAATCATGGAAGGTATCCACCAAATCCTACAACTACAACCACCCTCTTGGGATTTAGCCCATGAAGTAAACAAGAGTGTTAAGAAAAAACCATGGAAGATGAAGAAAAACGAAGAGAGTTGAAAAAGTTCAGATTTTATTGAATCCATTCTGGTTTCTTTCCTCGAAATGCTTTTGGCGAAGATATTTTCTTCTCTTTGCCATAGCTTTAAGAGTAAGAGGTGACCAGGAGATTCCGAAATTTCAGTTAATGGGTGATCATCAATCGCCTCGAACATGTTGGAACACAACAGAGCCTTGTTGTTGGCTTCACGATGTTCTTGGTCAACAGGTATTTCAACAATGCAATGAGTGTTTTTCGATTCAGCCATTGTAGAGACAGAAAATGAAGTAAAGAAAACGAGATTTGATAGAAACTGATGAAGAAGATAAATGTTAACGTTATTGTTTTGTTGGGAGAGAGTTGTGGCCTGTGGGAATATATACGTGATTTTTAAGGTGGCGTTTCAGTTTCTATAACGGTAACATAAATGGTGAAATTATTTATCTATTTTATTTATTTATTTATATATATTTAATTATTTGACACCGATACTCTAACGGATAGTTTGAAATTGGAAATCGTGAAAACCCTTAGTTACTCAATGATGGAGCGGAATAATGAAGAAGAAAATGTGAACCCATCTTAGGCGTTGATTTAGTTTAATAACAGATCAACGGATACTAATCATACAACTTAAATTTATTGCTATTTTTTATGATTAATTATCCGTCATTACTCTGATTAATTGTCAATTTAATGTTGGTTATGTTTTGTAATTGGCTGGCTTGAAATCTATACCTAATTACCCTTTTTACTCCTTAATCACCCACGTGGCATGGTTTAGCATTAGACATTCTATTTTATTGTTTTAAAACTCATAAATTGCCATTAATAAGTTCCAATTAATAAATAAAATATTATTGGAGTATTCCTCATTCAATGCAGCATTCCTCATTCAATGCATGTTTTAATACCGTTTCTCTTTCTTCACAAGGCTTTGAAAATACTCTACAAACTCTTATTTAGAAGTTGTTTTCTAATGATGTTGTTATGATTCTCGTTAAGATTACTAAATTTACTGACATATGGACTACTTTTCCCTATAATTCTTATTTTCTATTTGTTAATTGCACATTTTTCCTTTTACATCGTTTACATTTTATGTTACGTTCCATTGATACATATCACATTTTGTGCTACTCTAGTCAAACCAAGTAACATTTTTATTTGGCTGATATTATCGAGCCTACCATCTATGCTTCATGATTGCACGCGGTGACAAACCCCCATTTGTGTATGAATCTGGTCATTCCACCAAGGCTGAGATATTTAAGTATGATTGCTTATTGATTTATTACATGAGTTGAATCTGAAAAGTATAATCTTTCTTTTCTATAATGGATTCTATGGTGTGTAACGCCCAATGTAACACCCCGATTTAATTAGAATTAATTTTTTTTTATTAAAAATATAAGATGATGAGATGTAGTTATGTGGGTGCATGGCTATATGCTAGAACCATGGAGGTGTGTGGAATAATAGTGATTATTATTATATTATTATTATGATTATTATTATTATGTTGTAATAATAATAATTAAATATTTAATTAATTGGGATAATTAGATTATTGTTGGAATATATATTAGAATAAGAACAAGAGAATAGGTCATTACGTAGAAACATAGAAAGACACGTAGAAACATAGGGCAAAAGATTCACCGTAGAGATCAAGAATCAACCAAGAACCTAAGGTAAGGATGAAGTTCTAACTCTCTAATAGGTGGTATAATTGTTGGTAGATGAATGTTTGAATGTAGGGTTTTGGGTTTAGAATAATTATTAAATTGTTGTTACAACTGCTTGTAATTGATGAAATTGATGTATTGTTGTTTGCGTTAGAATTATGGTATATGATGTGTGTTAATTGTTTAGAATAATGGATGCATTTGATCTTTCATGAAAAGAGGTCTTTGGGTGAAGAAGATGGGGTTTCGTAGTAGAAAAATCAAGTTTTTGGGTCAGCTCGTGATGGATAATCGGTTACCATATGTGGGTAACCGATTATCGATGTATGTATTTTGAAACAATTAGCTACTATTTTGCAGTAACCGATTACCATAAATGGGTAACCGGTTACCATGGGAAATTTTGAAAAGAAAAAGGTTGATGTCTGTGATACAGTGGGAGAACTGACTTGGGTGTTTTGCGTTTTATTGTAAATGTTGCAGTTAGCAAGAGTCTCCATCGACTTTTCTTTTATCCAAAAGGAAATACTGAAAAGAACAGGAAAGACCTTTGAGATTATTTCTTGAGTTCGGGGGGTAGATTATGAAAAGGGGAGGTGTTAGCACCCTTTTCATCCATAGTTATCTATGGGCTCTTAGTTGCTTGCTAGATCACTTGCTTTTGTTTGAAAATATGCTTTGTGTGATTTTTGAAAGTATTTTGAAAATGCGTTATCGTTTAGGCAAACTTTGTAATAGTTCTCGTTCATAAGAACGTATACAAAGTGTTGATCTTTTGAAAATGTTTCATGTTTTGAAAGTGTTTTTGAAAGTGTTTGGTGTTTGTTTTAAAAATAAGCAAGAGTGTTTGATTTGAAATTGAGCAAGCAACTAGGAGCAATCTACCTACTCAGAAGTCTTAATTTATTTCTTCATTTCCTTTGATATTGTTATCTTATCGTTGATTTGGTAAGAAGCCTTCTCTTTGGATGTAAAGGAACGGACATGGGTCATCGTATAATCATGATAGCAATGTTGTGAGATATCTTAGCATTTCTTTTTGAGGGACTAAGATCATTTCGAAAGGCAACATTTGATAGTGTCATCGAGGGACTATGATCTTGTATTTTATATTGCTTTTGGCTAAGATATCCCACATGCATAACATGACCATTTTTGTAAGACAACAAAGGGGAATTACCCTAAGGGTGCAAGTATGCAAATGTGTTTGATTTACATGCATTGTTTTGTCTTAAATTATGGTTTGCTAGCTTTTTGATTTTATCTTTCCATATAAACCCTAATTTACTAGCATTTATATAAAGCGGTAAATTGCGGAAATTAAAAATACTAAGCTATTACATTATTGGGGGAGGGGGTATACAAATTTACAAATGGGGATTTTGCAAGAAAAATTAGACCTAATTTATCTATTAAAACCATATTGAATAAATGTATAAGAATTGAAAAATAATGTACAAATACAAAATGGAAAAAGAAATGATTTTTATTTGGTTTTCATGAATGAGTTTTAACCTAATTAAGAAAATGATTAATGAAAATTAAATAAAATTAACTTAAACTAATTAAGAAAAGAAATTAATTTAAAAGGATTTTTTAGGGTTTTTCATGAAAAGGTTTTAAATAATGAAAATACAACGAGAATTGATTAATTAAAATAAACCTAGGTTCTAAATTAATTTTAATTTACAAGAGAATAATATAATAATTAAACCTAATTATAAAAATTTATTATATAAGAAATAAATTAATTTGTTTTAAGAAAAATATTTTTTAGTCTTTTGTATTATGAAGAAAATAAAATATATAAGTGTAAATAAATAAAATATTTATTTTTATATTTTTTAATAATAAAAATAATAATGATAAAAATAATAATAGTAATAAAAAGTAATATGAAATAAAAATAAAATAAAGAAAAAGAAAAAGAAATAATAAAATAAAGGGTCAGAGGTGTGAAAGTAAACAAGGGTTAGAGGTCAGCAAAAATAAAAAGCCCAAAAAGGGGGAAGCCCAGGCGCTGTTTCAAGCAAAAAAATGGGAAAATATGAAAAATAGGCAAAAGGGTACCACTGGAGCTCGAACCCAGGTCCTAAAGGTAACAGGCGCGCGCTTTAACCACTGGGGTGGTGATACATCCGTTAACTTAAACAAAACAATAAATATGTAACATAAGTTTTGTCCTGAATGAACTTCATCTTCAACCTCCATCCAAAGAAACTGTAACTCATTCATTTCTCATCCATTCACAAAACTTCCAACATCAAACTTGTTAGAAATTTCCTCACGATTCTGAATATGTAAATAACTTAAGCTAATTCTCAAAGATGAGCATGAATTTCTAACAGTACCAAATTCTGACCTAAATATTTTCAGAGATTCAAACTCAACATTCTCCCTACTCAAGCAACTTAAATGAAATCTATGAACATGTATAGTTTCAGGGCAATGATGTATATATTTTATCTTCACAAATGCAAGCCTAACAATGCCTAAATGAGAAGATAGAAGTTCAAGAAAGATACCTCAAAACTGAAAATCGTGAAATGAGTTTGAACTTGATTCAAGGTGCTACAATGATCAGGTTAGCTTCCTTGAGTCTCTAGGAAGCTAATGCAATGCTTAGCTTGAGTTGAGAGTGGCTGGAATGGTCTGGAGAAGTCCAACTGCAATGCTCTGTTTTTGGTTATGGAGGATGGTATAAATGGTGTTACAGTTTGCAAACAGGTATTGGTATGGTTTGTGTATGATGCTAAGAAGCTTTTGTAAGTATTAAGCCAAGAAACGCACAAGTGGTTTTGAAGATTGAAGTTCAAAGTCAGAAATGACACAAAAATGGAGGTTTTATGCAATTTTTGGCTTGAGGGAATTTCAGAGTGCTTAAGGGATTCTAATATCGTGTCTTTGCTTGCAAATAACTTGTATAGATATAAGCAAGAGGTCTTAGGGTTTGAAGTTGACATATCTATGAGATATAAAGTTATGGCTATGTTACTTGATTTTGAAGAAAAGTGAGAAAACAAGTTTCAATGTGTTGTACAAGCACGGTCTGAGTTGGTAGGAGGTTCTAGCCATGTTGCTTTTGGTTTTTGACTTTGCTTGTGTTCAGATGAAACAAGTTAGGAGCTCTATGCATTGACTTTGTGATTAAAGTCACTTTTCCAAAATGGAAGTGTGAACTTTGTTCCATTAATGGAATAATCACTTGGACAATGTCTCAAACACTTGGATCAGAGCTCAAATAGTTGTGTAATATTATGATTATGGATAGATTTAGAAGTTAGAAGCCTGCAAAGTAAGATTTATATAGCACGGGTGTGGATTAGATCCAATGTTCATCATGAAAATGACTTGAAAAACAAGTTTGAAACCCCAACTTCTTGCCTTCGATTCTCTTAGCTCAAGAATGATCTCAATTAGTTCTTGGATATTTTAGAAAGCTTGTAACATCATCTACAACCTCTATGTTGTACATTTTTTAAAATTCCTCTTTGAACTATGTGAAAAATTTCCATAAAGTTAGGTCAAAATTCTGCCTAAACTAGGGCAAAATTTCACTAAGTTTCCAAGTTTCATGAAC